GCGCCCCGAGCCACGGCAAACGGTGGCCCTGCCTGTCCTGGCGCCCCCGAGCACCCCCAGGCAGCCCTGCCCGTCCTGCCGTCTGCCGTGCCAGTGTCCAGAGAGGGGCAGCGCCTCCTTCCCTTGCTGCTTACTGTGGTCTGATCAGGCGGTCTGGTCCCGTCCGTCTCCCGGACAGTGCGTCGTCACCGGGGAGACGAGGGTTTTGTGGTGTGGACGAGCAGAGTCGCTCGCAGCCCTTGACCACCACCGCTGGGCTGCACCTCACATCTGTCTTTCCTCTGTCCCCGACGGAGGACGTAGGCGGGAACCGCGTCGCGCAGTCGTGAAGGGATATGGCGCGTGGCTGGCAGCTCGGTGCGCTCTGGTGGCAGTCCTGGCCGAGGACTGTGGGAAGCCGGCGCTGCGTGTCCACACGCTCGTGAAGACGGTGGGCATTCAGGTTCGGGCCCCGGCCCCAGCAGATGTGACTGTGGTGCTGCCTAATGAACGGCTGCTGGGATGCTGGCTAGGAAACAAGCCCCTCCCAGGGCGGCCTGTGCTCCCCTCTCCCAGGGGGCTCTCTCCTGCCCACAGAAGCTGCACTCTGACACCCTCCGGTGTGGTTCCCAGGGGCGGAGCAGGAGCGTCCCGTAGGCCTCAGTGGGAAAGTGCGGCCTAACCCCTTTGGCTCTGCCTGGCCCCCGCAGCCGGCTTAGGCCAGTCTCAGTCCAGCTCTGCCGGTCCCTGAGTGTACGGCCTGGGCAACTTCCTCCACTTCCCTGGGGTTGGCTCCCCGCCTGGCTGGATCGCGGCACAGGAGAGACTTGTCGGTAGCGCTCCTCACCCACCAGGGGCTGGGCCACGTCCCCTCCCCTGAGGAGAGGCTGCTGCCATGCTGGCTGTGGCTGCGAGAGGAGTGGACGCTAGTTGGCACTGCGTCGTGCAGACAGATTCCGTGTTCAGCGCCAAGGTTCCCTTCCCACACGCACTGACCGGCTGCAAGCAGAATGGGATTTCCGCTTTGTCCCTTCGGGGTGGTGGGGGTCTGTGTGCCGGCTCGCCCCAGGCCCGTCTTCCTTGGTGATGAAGTTCGTCCGCAGCTCTGAGCTGGAGCTCGGCTGGCGGCTCGGTTTAGCACGGCCATCCTGGGTATAGGGGACACGTGAGTTTTCCGGGCACAGGGTCTGCAGTGCCTCTTAGCACGGTCCCAGACCAAGAGCCACGAGCTGCCAGCAAGGACTCGGCAGCTGTACAGGCACTGGGTGCTGGCCATGGGCGGTGTGGCTCTCAGACAGTCCTCTGGTGTAGGCCGCCCTGGTTCACGATCGTGTTGTAGGATGGTGGCTGTCAGTCCTCCGGTGTAGGTCTGTCCTGGTTCACGATCGTGTCGTAGGATGGTGGCTGTCAGTCCTCAGGTGTAGGTCTGTCCTGGTTCAGGAACCCGTCGTAGGATGGTGGCTGTCAGTCCTCAGGTGTAGGTCTGTCCTGGTTCAGGAACCCGTCGTAGGACATCCACGCTGCTGTCCATGCGCAAACTGCTTGTTCTGGGGTGCTGACGCCAGGGCGCCCCGACTGGCACGGGGCAGGGCGGAGAGCTTTCTCAGTGTGGAGAGGCCGTTCTCTCAGCCCAGCCTCCCGTGCGCTCGCTCCTAGCTCACGAGGTGGACTCAGGAGGGCTCTGTGTCCTGTCAGCCTCTGAGGTCTGACGCCATGTCTCCGTCATGTCTGCAGTGATGAGGGAAGCGTGACTCGCATCCCAGGGAGGGGACTGAGTCGCACTGCCGTGACCCCCGGGCGCTTCCACGCTTGCTTGGGGGTGGTTGGATAACAGCGGCCGTTTCACGGGCAGCCTGCGCGAAGCATGCGAAGGCGGGAAAGGGCGTGGCCTTCCGCGGTGCACCATTGACGCCCACTTCGCCTTCTCTCTTCTAGATGGGAGCGTGGCAGAACCTGACATGTCCGCGGGGTTTTGCCCAGACCACAAGGCAGCCATGGTTTTGTTCCTTGACAGGGTCTATGGGATTGAGGTCCAAGATTTCCTCCTCCACCTCCTTGAGGTTGGCTTTCTGCCAGATCTCCGGGCGGCTGCATCCTTAGACACGGTACGTCTGCGCCACCTCCCGTGTCCCGCACACACGTGTGCTCGTGTGTGATCGGCAGATGGTCACCGAGCACTCATGACGGTTCCAGGCCTGAGTGCTCCAGACCTTCCCTGAGTGCTTCGGGGCCGACGCGCTCCTGGAGTCGGTCGGGCTCACGTGCCCGATGCGGGGTTGCAGCGGCCCCTGTTGTGGTGGGTGGGGAGTGGGACTGGCCCAGGCCGGCCCAGCATGGCCAGTGTCCTTGCCAAGTGCAGACAGTGACCGCCTCGACAACAGGGTCGCGTGGTCCCCGCTGCCAGGCCGACCCGCCCTTTGAGACACGGTGACAAGCTGACGCCCCCAGTGCTGCTGCAGTGTGCGGAGTGACGCGTGGTGCAGCCTGTCGGTTAAACGGGACGCCTACGTTCTGGGGAACTAGGTCTGACGGTGACGGTGGCCCTCCCAGGAGCCTCCTCCTGTGTTGGGCGTGTACACAGGGAATTCGAGCCAGCATGGCCCGGATGCTAATGGGGCCCCGAAGGCTGCTCACCTTCCTGGTGCTGGGGCCCGAGCAGGGTTAACGCTTACCGAGCGGGACTCCTACCATGATGGCTCTGAGCTCTCCCAGCCTCTCCTCCTGGGCAAGGAGGGCCACCACACTCTCGGCCTCTGGGACAGACCAGGACCTCTTGGGTTTCAGGGCCGAGAGGTTGTCACTCATATCCGGCCCCGCAAGGGCAGTTGCTGGCGGTTGGTGGGGAAGACTGAGCCATACAGAAGAGTCACGTCTGTCCCCCACTTCCAGCCTGGCCTGGACAGTGGGACTCTGTCCCTTTGCAAGTTCCAAACCCAGCCTCTCTGCCCTCTGTCCCCGCCTAGGCTGCTCTGAGCGCCACAGACATGGCCCTGGCCCTCAACCGCTACCTCTGCACGGCCGTGCTGCCCCTGCTGACGCGGTGTGCCCCCCTCTTTGCTGGCACGGAGCGCCACGCCTCGCTCATCGACTCGCTGCTGCACACAGTGTACCGGCTGTCCAAGGGCTGTTCGCTCACCAAGGCCCAGCGGGACGCCATCGAGGTCTGCCTGCTGTCCATCTGCAGGTGAGCCAGGACTCCGCCCCGCCGGGGAAGGCACTGCTGCGTGGCCCGGACGAGCCAGTCCCGGTAAAGTGGGCAGCTGAGGCTGGCAGGTACAGCTGACCCCACGGGGCTGACTGTGCAGTTCGAGTCTCGGGCTGACGCATGCACACGTGCGCACCAAGTCCTGAAAGGAAGGAGAGGTGGAGGAGGGGGTTGTGGTATGACCACCCCCGTAGGGGCTTTGTCCCTTTTGTTTTTTTTTAAATTTTTTAAATTTATTTTTTATATTTTAAATTTTATCTATTTGTTTACATTTTTAAATACATTCAATCACATTATTTAGCTTACAAAGTGATCATTTCAGTATGTGAACATTTCTCCCCGGTCCAGTCAATCAAAATATAACAGCCCTACCTTCCTGTCCCGACAATGCTCTGTCTCCGTATCCCTCCTCCGAATGTCCTTCCCCAGGCCCCCGTTCTCCACACACCACACCTGCCGTTCACACCCATCTCTTGTGTCTGTGCATCCTTTAGCCCGTCAGTGTCTGTCATGGAGTGCGGACACTCGGTACATACCAAGTGGGGACACACAGTGCCTCTCCATAGCCTGGCTTCCTTCCCTCAGCAGTTGTCCCTCCGAACTTTCCCTCTGGAGTGAGCACACACACCGTCTAGTAAAACGTAAAACAGGAGAGTCACCACAACACTGGGGTGTCCCCAGCCTCCCCAGAGTGTGCAGCTGCTGTCCTGCCGTGGAAGGCAACAGAGACAGCACCGCTCGGGGTGTGTGTGCGTGTGTGTCAGGGTGACTGCCAGGGCTCGCTGTGTCAAGAGGCCTAGGCACTCGGGCTAAGAGGGTTTTCCCCTTTTCAGAGTAGGAGATATTTTAACTCCTCTTGTAAAAGAGGAAAGAAAAAAGGGACTTATTAATATAAAGAATGAGGGTGGGGCCAGCAGATGCCGTAATGGCTGTGTCACTGGACTCCCATGTAGTCGACTGCAGTTTGAGTTCCAGACCCTGTGGCCTAAACTCACACTGGGCACGTGTGCAGGTGTGCCCCAGATCCCGAGAGGAGAAGGGAAGAGAAGGAGTTGCGGGAGGCCATCCCCTAGGGGTTTTTTTTACTCTCTGTCTCTCTCTCTGGTGAGTGCACAGGCCTTTGGCAGGAATCTCTTATAAAAACGAGAACGAGTGAGGGGCGGCCGCGCCTGGTGGTTAAGGCGTCTGGGACCCACACAGCTGACTACAGGGGCTGAGTACGGACCCAGGGTACGAGAAACATGCCAGAATCCTGAGATGGGAGGTGAAGGAGAAGGGACCGCGGCTGGGCCAGGCCCAGGGTGCTCCCCCAGTTTCTGGAGCAGTGCGGCAGATCCTGGTCACAGGGGCAGCAGTGCTGGCTGGGCGCGATGTCCAGCCTGATGGCCACTTCGGTGGAGAGACCCAGACGGTGACAGTGACGGTCACATAGGCCCCTTCCTAGATGGAGCCTAGGCGTGGGGGGTCAGCTGCTGCAGACCTCGGCAAGGGAAGGTGCCCGCTGTGGACAAGGGCGTGGCCAAGGAGCCCGTGGGCCGAGGGAGGGGCAAGTCGGGGAGTGGCTGGGCAGCTTCCCCGGCCCACGACTGTGAGGTGGTCCCAGTAGACCTGCCTGCCCAGCTCCTCCAGGCTTCCTGCCCCTCCCGGCCCAGCCTGCCCCTCCCCCGACCTCCAGAGCGAGGCCAGGGCATTTGCAGAAGGGATGGGGGGCGGAAGCAGGGTCTTGGGCAGTGCCGAGTGGCGGCGGGGAGCAGAAGTCTGTAGTGAATGTTGTGGGGGGCCCTTAGACCTGGGAGGTGTGAGCTGTGAGGGGTGCCCGTGGAAAGCCCATAGCTGCTGGAGAATTCTGGGGCTGGGGATGCCGGGCAACAGCCCTTGGAGGTGCAAGCCATGTGCCCCGGGGCCTGCCTGTACTGACACTGCCCCCCACAGCCAGCTGCGGCCGTCCACGATGCAGCATCTGCTCCGGAGGCTGGTGTTTGATGTCCCGCTGCTGAATGAGCACGCCAAGATGCCCCTCAAGGTGAGGCCGGGCTGGGAGCTGTTCTGCCCTCCGACTCGTGTACGGTGCGTGAGCTTGGACCGGCATCTCTCCCATTATAGGAGCGGGTGTGTGAGTCACAGGACATGCGTGTGGCCACATACGAGAGTGATGCTAGGTCCCAGAGGGCCGCTTCCCTAGCCCAGAGGTTAAGCACTCTCAAAGGAAGCCAGATTCCTGCGGCTGGTTGGGGTTCGAATCCAGCCCTGGCAGCAACGGGCTGGGCACATGCCCAGGGCCCTGGTGGCCCCGAGAGATCGGGGGCGCCTTGGCTCCCTCGTCCCCACCCCCGCACACGTATCCTCTATCGTGCGTAAAGGGGCGAGATCACAGAAGCCCTGGGGTGAGCTCAGTGGATGGGGCGAACAGCCACAGGGCAGAGGTGAGCGGGCGTTCCTGGGCTGGACAGTGTGCTCGGGGCCTGGCCTGCCACGTCGCCGGCTACCTGGGGCGGGGAGCAGCCTGCAGCCAGGCACTCTGGTCAGCAATCACGTGGCCGGTCCTCGGCGGCCCCCGTAGGGTGCAGGGCGGACCTCTGGCCATGCAGTGACAGCCTGTCTCACATAGACTAGCTACCGCCTGCCCCTCTGCCCAGGTGCCCTCTCCTGCTCACGGATGCGCCAGCCTCCCTCCACCTGGCCGACCTGGGGTCTTCCCGTCCATAGATCCCTCGGCCCAGAACCCAGGCTGCCTGGCTGTGCCCGGTCACCTGGCCACCAGTGGGCTCTCCCAGGGGCTACCCAGCAGTGGTGCCCAGCGGGCCCTGCTGTTCCCTCTGCCACCCGTCATGGCCACAGAGAGGCTTGGCAGGAGCTGTGACACCAAGCGTCCCTGGGCATTCAGCGAGAGGGGCCTTCTCTGAACCAATTCGCTTCTGTAAATGTGACTAACTTGACAAATTAGGTAAATCATGCCCTTGTTAGAAGTCCCATTTTTTACAATTTTCATCATCTAAAATAGCTTCTATCATGCAAAGTTTTCTTGATACAAATGATCTAAATAAGATGCAAGAGCTTACTCTTCTTAAAATCAATTAATTAGATGAGAGAAAGCAGGGACAGAGCGGGGCCCTTGACAGGGTCTCAGGCACCTAGGTCCCTGGGGACTCCCGGTTGTGTGCTTTGAGTGGGGTTTCTACATCTAGACCCGGGAGGAGGGTGGATTCAGGGTGGCCTGGCAGTGAGGACAGGGTCCAGGTGTTCACGGGCTCACACAGATCATTTCGCTAATTTGGCAAATACAAGTGGGAGTACAGTACCTGAAGAGCTACCACGTGACCTCCGGCCTCCCCAGCCCTCGGCCCCTGGCTCTGATTCGAACACGCCGAGCTCTCGCAGGTCAAAGCCCGATGTCACATCTTCACCGTGAGCCGGCGAGCTGGGTGGGAGAATGACCCGATTGGCCGCAGTGGGTGTCTTAAGTAGAGCAGGACTTGGGCAGGTTGCCTGTGTGACGGTCAGCCCAGCGGAGCAGGGTGGAAATGGCCCAGGGTGGCTCCCCGTGTCGCCCTGACCCCGCCTCTAGTTCAGCTGGGTTCTGGGGGAAATCCACTGTAAGACTGAGTGATGCCTGGGCGCGGCCGGACAGCCTCAGGGGGACACCGCTCCACGTGGCTCCGTGCGAGCTGGGTGTCTGGCCCGCGTGGACGGCGGGCTCTCCCGGGAGGCGCGTGGCTCGGCGGTGGCTCCGTGGCCCTGCCTGCAGCTCACGCGTCACCCTCCCTCGCAGCTGCTGACCAACCACTACGAACGCTGCTGGAAGTACTACTGCCTGTCCCGGGGGTGGGGCAGCTTCGGCGCTGCCTCAGAGGAGGAGCTCCACCTGTCCCGGAAGCTGTTCTGGGGCATCTTCGATGCCCTGTCCCAGAAGGTACTGGCCGTTGCGTGGACCGACACCAGGTGGAGGTGCACAGGAGCCCGGTGTTGCAGTCAGGCCCACCTACTCTCTTCTCTTTTCTCAGCTCAGTAACACCTTAGGAGAAGGCAACTTGCATTGTTTTTTCCATCATCGTGGAAGCATTTTCCTTGTGATCATAGCACCGTTACTGGATTTAAAATGGTTATTTTTCATCTTAATTTACTGTCAAGCACGTATATCTTTATGGTGTACAACATAGCTTTTCCAGCGCCACCACCACGCGCGTCAGTCGGCACAGACGTTGCTACGTACGTTGTCACCAGCAGATAGCTTTTCATTGTCAATGAGATGTGTACGTGTTTTTCTCCCCCATTCTCCCCCTTCGCCCTCTTGCCCTCCCGTACCATCCCGCCCTTACTGTCTCCGGCATCTCCCGTCGCCCTCCCAGCTCTGCCCCCAGACTCCCCGTGTCTGCCTAGACTGCGGGCATTCGGATTGCGTTGACGAAGTGTTGCAGAAGACGGGCACATGGCCGATACGTCTCTGGCACATCTAGGCTTCCTTTGTCACCTCTCTAGTCTTATAAATTCCAAAGACGTTACATACAACGTGAAATCTTATGGAGTGTTACTATTCTGGTGGCCCGTGACCCTGCCGTGTCGATGTGTCTGCTGTGCCGTGTCGCTGGCACTGTGAGCACGGACAGTCCTTGTCTCCCGTGGCCGCTGCACAGTGGTCTGCAGAACACCAGGACGGCGCGTTCTGAGCGCTCTGCTTAATCCAGTCTGAGTCCCCGGACGGGCCTGTCTGTGTCCGGCGTGGTGGAAGCGTGGCACCACGGGAGGGGGAGCTTCCCGGTGACCACTCTGACAACGCGTTTGATGTTTTCTAACCAAGTTACCTCTGCTCAGCTGTGGACCTTTTTACATGATGAGCTGGTAGAATTAGAGGCATTCGGACTGTAACTTAAAATTGATACGATAAATAATTTAAACAGCTGTTCTTGATGTTTGAAACAAGCCTGTAACTACGGCTTAGCTTTGTGCAGTACCCCTCCAGGGGGTTGAACATGCTTCCTGCCTGCAGGGCGACCCTCCCTTCTCAGAATTTAGTCTCATACCTGCGCCAGCCCACACGGATGCGTTGCAGCTTCTCGCCATCTGCTGTAGGCTGCCCCCGCGTGTCCACATGTGCTTGCTACGCTGGGGCGTGGCGGTGGTCTGTAGCCAGCCGTGAGGATGGTAGCCCTCTGGGTGCTGTTGTGCCGTGGCCTGGATACCCTGCCACTTCAGAGCGCGCACGGGTTGGCCGCATCTCAGATGTGGCCCTCCACACCTGCAAGGGCGGGAGACCGACCACGGTGGCTCTGCTCATGGGAGGGACCGAGGCCGTGCGTTCCGTGTTCTCGAGGAAGGCCATCAGGGGGCGCTAGCCAGACAGTGCAGGTCTCTCCCGCAGCGGGCATGTGGCGTGGCAACTGTGCAGGCTGCTCCTGCTCTGTTCTCACATGGTGACTGGAGTCTGGGCTCTCTTGTCCTCCGTTCCCAGAAATATGAGCAAGAGCTTTTCAAGCTGGCCCTTCCTTGCCTGAGCGCGGTGGCTGGGGCTCTGCCCCCTGACTACATGGAGTCGAGCTACGTGAACACACTGGAGAAGCAGTCTTCCGTGGATGCCGAGGGGAACTTCAACCCGCAGCCGGTCGACACCTCTAAGTAAGTGCTCTCCTGTCGCTGCGGGTTTTATTGCAACTGGAGGGCAAGGTCTGAAGCCGAGCAAGGTGCTGAAGTGCACTGTCTCGACCTGTCCCTTCCGGTAGGGGTCCCTCTGTGGTCAGACGACACTTACATCGATCACGGACGCACTAAGATCCGAAGTGGCCCTGCACCACAGTTGGGACGTTACCTGTGCTGTGACAAGCACGTGGTAATGTCCACGGTCATGACCCACAGGCGTCAGCTCCACTGTGGTTGAACGCGCACGCCGAGTGTGTGTTACTAACCGCAGTCAACCCCCGCAAGACAGTCTCCCCGCAGGACGGTGCGCAACCCTCTCGGTTCTGCCACCCAGCAGGGTGTGGGGAGCAGCGGTGCCCCGCGTTGTGTGGCCCAGCCGTGCAGGGTCAGCGCCCAGAGCTTCCCCAGACTCGGTACGAGCTGCCCTGCAGCCTGGCCACCTTGACAAAGATGAAGTGGCGCCGTCTGACACCTGCAACTTAACATGTAGTTGTGTAAATTGTCCTGCTAATAGGAGGTGACGTTGGGACCCGGCGCGGGGGTCCCAGCCTGGCATTGCTGGTGTCACCGTCTCCGGCGGCACTTGGTCTCCTCCTACCACCCTGGATGATCGCCGTGGCAGGACCGTTTCAGCACATGGCTGTCGGCAGTAACTGACCTGCTCGGGGTGGCAGTCTCAAGGGGTCTGGGTGGCCACAGCTGGTCAAAGCTTCAACTCAAGTGGCCTGCCTTTAGCTGGACAATGCCTTGAGTGATGAAGGCCCCGGAGAAAGGCTCCACCCCGGTCTTTGGCTTCTGTACTGGTCGTCTGTGTCTCTGCAAAGTGAGAAAACCAAAGGTCACATGTCGACCCCCACCCCCGGGTAAGCTTGTGGTCTGCTAACATGCAGCCTGACCTTCGGTTTTACAGACGCCTGGACAGTGTCATCGCCTGGGTGTTGGTCACGTAGACTCAATTTAAGCAGGTGTTGGGCATGTCCACTAGTTATCTGGTTCCGGACACAGCCTTGCATGTGACGCCGACCACTCCCCCGCGGGTGCCATGTGGCTTCCGAGGGGTCGCACGTGAGCACACCCAGTTGCCGGTGACTTGGCTGAAAGAGAGCACTGAGCCGCGTCCTCACACCGGCCTTATTGGAACTCGGTTCTCAGTCGCGAGCCGCAGTGCTTGATGTTCACTAGCAAACCTCATCGGATGTGCCGCGCTTGGTAGGCCCGAGTCTCCCGGTTACCCTCAGGCAGGTTCTCAGTGGGCGTCCGCTCTGAGGATTAGTATTTCATCACACGTGAAGGGAGTCAGGAGTAAGTGCTGCAGGTTCACAAAGCGGCGGTTGGCTGACATTCCCTGGGCTGAGGGCAGCAGGCGTGTGGTGACTAAGGCTGGACTCACACGTGGTTGACCATAGTCCCAGTCCTGGGCCCGGCAGCTTGAAACTCATGCCAGGTGCATGTGTGTGCACACGCCCAAAATCCAGAGAGGGGAATAGAGGAGAAGGCCACCCCTGATGGCTCTCTGCCTCTGTCTTTCTCTTTCTGGTGAGTGGACGTGCCTATAGCAAAAATCTCTCTAACAATCAAAATACTCCCAGTGGTCAATATTAGTAACATCTAGAATGTCACAAACCATTACTACTTGAGATTATTGCCATGCCACTACTTGTAAGGGCTTTAAAAACACAACAGGTTTGGGCCAGCAGATGGCATAATGACTACATCACTGGACTCCCACGTGGTCAACTGCAGTTCGAGTTCTGGACCCGGTGGCTTAAAACTCACGTCAGGAACATGTGCATACACGCCCAAAATCCTGAGAGGAGAATGGAGGAGAAGGGATTGTGTGTGGCCACCCCCTGGGGGGTCATTTCTCACTTTCTGTCTCTCTGTCTCTCTGTCTCTCTGGCAAGTGCGTGTGCCCTGTAGCAAAGATCTCTAAAAACACAAACAGGTCAGATTTTAGCAGTCTCTTATCCACTTGTAAGTTGTTACAAAGATGTAAGCGAAAGAGTTAAAACGACCCCAGAAAAACCATGGGAAAAGTGTCTTTGAACTAGTTGAGGCAAACTGCATCTTGATTTAGGCTTTATGTTTTCTTCACCTTTGACTGATTTTTATTCATAACTTGAACAATTTTATGATATTTAGCATGTTCTATGAACGCGTACTAAAGTATAAGTCAGTGTAAGATGCTGGACAGGACGTCACCTGCTGGCCTTTGCTCCCGTGCCCTAAGGTACAGAAGGGGCTCTCACTAGCGGTCCATGCGAGGTGGGGCTGGGCGCCCGGGGCTGACTGGGCCACCGCCGAGGCTTCTGTGAGGACGACACTGCCACTGCCCTTCTTTCCCATAGCATCACCATCCCGGAGAAGCTGGAGTGCTTCATCAACAAGTACGCCGAGCACACGCATGACAAGTGGTCGGTGGACAAGGTGAGCCACTGTGTCCTGGCGCCGTCCGCCGTGGCACCTCCCTGCGTGGGAGGGAGGGCGTGGTCTCGGTCAGGGAGGGACGCTTCGTCACAGTTGGCCTGCACAGGCTTAGCGCGTTTTGCCACGAACGCCGGACACGCGTGTGAGCGAGGAAGCGTGTTCCTCCAGAGCAAGGTGGCACGTGGGCAGGCACAGGAATGCCGTGGAAGCCGTTTCTGAACTTGGGTCTTTCGTGACCTCTGGAAGCCCAGAAGTCACCTCTAAGGAAACTCGTCTTTAAAAGCATTCACTGGCTGATTTGTTGAGATGGAGACAGAGAGAGAGACAGGCAGCCTCGGCCCGATGCCAGCTTAGCCGAGATCACGGCAGGCATTCCACTTTGCGCTCGCCACACGCTCGCCGTGGGGAGCAGACCCCCCCCCCCCCCCGGCCTTGT